AAATCTAAAAAAGAAAAGGAAGCAAAACAACCTCTTAAGAGCCTTATGATAGGGATAAACCCTCACACATCAATAACTAGCTTGACTATGATTGGTCTGAATGCGTCACTAAAAAGGCCTAAAGTAGCAAACTGGATAAAGAAATATGATTCAAGATTCTGCTGTCTCCAGGAATCTCATCTCACTGCAAAGGATACGCACAAACTAAGGGTGAAAGGCTGAGAGTTGAACTACCAGGCAAACGGAAAACAAGAAAAGATTAGGGGTAGCTATTCTTATATGAGACAAAACAGATTTCAAACCAATAAAAGTTAAAAATTACATGGAAGGATACTACATAATGATCAAAGGCTCAATCCATTAACAAGAAATAGTCTTCTTAAATATTTATGCAGCCAACACAGGAGCCCGTGGATTTATAAAACAATTGCCACACAAATTGAGAGGGCACAGACACCTACATAGTCATAGAGACTTTATTATCCTGTTAACAGCCTTAGATCATCAAGGCAAAAAATCAGCAAGGAGATCCAGAACCTTAACTTGACACTAGACCAATTACACCTAACAGAAATCTACAGAGCACTCTATTAGGGTATGGACGGACCGGGTGAGGGTGGAGAGGCGAGGCGGGAGGCGTGCAGCACTGCTGAGGCTGGCAAGTCGAAGGTGCCGCCAACAACCCAGAAATCCGAGTAGATGCAAAGAACTGCGACACACAGAGGTGAGAGAAGAAAAGATTTATTTGTAATCCCAGCACTTTGGGAGGCTGAGGTGAGTGGATTGCCTGAGCCCGCGGGTTCGAGACCCGCCTGGGCAACTTGACGAGATCTCATCTCTACAATAAATCAAAAATTAGCCAGGCATGGTAGCGCGTGCCTGTAGTTCCGGCTACTTGGAAGGCTGAGGCAGAAGGATCTCCGGAGCCCAGCAGGTCAAGGCTGCGGTGGCTGCACCAGTCTGGGCGACAGAGTGAGACTCCAACTGAAAAAAAAAATCCTTCTCTTGAAGATGTTGCATGTGACTGCTGTGATGGCTGTGAATTCCTTATCGACCACCTGTGGATGTCTTGGAGAACCTGTGACACAGAGACCCAATAATGTCCACTCACATTATCATAGCCCCTAGAGAAGGGCGTGACAAGGATTCTAATTCTCCTGCACCTTCCCAAACGGCATTCCTTAGAGCTAGTGGACGGTGTACTTCCCCTTATCTCCTAGGCATTCCCAGTGGGTAGCTTCGGGGGATCCCTGGCTTCCCTGTAGATAGTGCCCAGTTTACTGGAAGATCAAATCCCCACCTGCTCTCCCTCTGAGCGGCCATAACTTTTGTAATTACAAGTTTCATGACTTTTACAGTCCTTGCCCAATGTATGATGTCTTAGACCTTGTAAATTCCCTTAACTCTAGGCAAGCTTGATTGCCGCTATGAGATACCTCTGATACCTGGAAGTCTGTTTCTGAAAAGACAAAGTCAGTAAAGTTAATCATACCTAAAGTGTGCATTTCTCCAAAAGCATAGCTTCTACTTTCTCATCATTGTGTCAGGGTTTAAGAACAAGATGAAAAATAGCTTCCCACTCTTGGTCTGTCCTTTCACACTCCACCCAAAAACCACAGCATATATATTCTATTCAGCAATACTCCAAGATTGATCACATTCTCAAGCATAAATCAAGCATGAACAAAGTTCAGAAGGTTGAAATGCCAAGTATCTTCTATGATCACAGTGGAATAAAACTGTCACTACCAACAAGAACCCACCAAAACACATAAAGACATGGACACTAAACAACATGCTGCTGAATGACTTTTGAGTCAACACAGAAATCAAGACAGAAGTAAGATTCCTGGAAACTAATGAAAACAAAGGCATGGCATATCAAAACCTCTGGGATACCATAAAATCAGTGTTGTGTTGGAAGTTCATAGCATTGCCTGATCATATCAAGAAAATAGAGTGGGAAGGGATCCAAGGTGGCCATTGTGGAGCTGCAGTCTGACTGGTCTGACCACTGGGAAAACTCTGCAGCAGAAAGCCACTTTCAGGGCAAAGCATGGAGCAGAAGCGAGCATCCCTCTCTCTCCTCCTGAATGATCTATATTGAATGATAGAAAAGTCCCTAGGACAGCAAGACATTAAGTAGCTACAGCACAACAAAACTAAAATAGAATGATTAAGAGGGAAGAGTTGCTTTTCACAGATGAGGAAGAATCAATGGAAAACACCAGGAATCCTCAAAGTCTTAAAAAGACAGCACGTGAAAAAGCTGCCATCCGTGCCCAAACAATGGAAGCCACCCAGAATAACCTGTCCATGATGATAGACACAAAATTTAATGGTTGAATGGCTAAAATGAATAAAGAAAGCCATGGGAAACAAGAAGCAAAACTCACCCAATTTGGGCAGAAAGTAAAAGTAGAGTTGGCCAATTTCAGAAAGACCCGTTCCCCCTAAGAACTGGAGCAAGACAAGGATATCCACTCTCACCCTTCCTATTCAACATAATGCTGAAAATCCTAGACACAGCAATCAGGCAAGAGAAGAAAACTGGGGTATACAAATAGGAAAAGAGGAAGTTAAGCTATCCCTCTTTCCAGAAAATATGATTCTATATCTAGGAAACCCTAGGGAGTCTGTAAAAATCTCCTTGCTTTGATAAATGACTTTGGTAAAGTCTTGAGTTACAAAATTAATGCAAAAAGATAGTTGTATCTGTATGCACCAGCAACAAGCAGTCTGAGTATCAAATAAAAAGCATAATCCCATTCACAACAGCCACCAAAAGGTCTTTCAGTTACCTGGTTAGCATTCACCTAACCAGGTCACTGAAAGACCTTTAAAATGAGAACTACAAAACACTGCTCAAAGAAATCAAGGATGATACAAATGGAAAAACATCTCATGCTCATGGATTGGAAAAATTAATATTGTCAAGATATCCATCCTACCCAAGGCAATCTACAGATTCAATGCAATACCCATCAAATTACCAACATCATTTTTCACAGACCTGGAAAGGACAATACAGAAATTCATATAAAAACAACAACAAAAAGACTATGAATAGCCAAAGCCATTCTCAGCAAAAGGATCAAAGTGGGAGATATCACACTTCAGATCTTAAACTTTATTACAAGGCTGCAGTAACCAAGATGACAGAGTATAGGCCCAAAGACCAAGGGAACAGGACAGAGATTCTGGAAGTAAAAACATGGTCCCTCAGCCAACTCATCTTTGACAAACCATCAATAACAATCATTTTCTCCCCTGTGTCTCCATGCAAGAGAGGTGAGCTGTGATCCTCACCTCTGTGAGACACAGCAATGTCACCTCACTCCCCTGTGGTAGCAACTGTCAACCAAAATAACAGAGAAAGGCTTTCTGAAAGAAAATGATTTTTATTTGGGAACGGGGCATTGCAATGAGAATACACATGCTGTAGTAAACTTTGTGCGTATTCAGGAAAGGAATGGAAGACAAAGGTTTTAAAAGAAAAAATTAGAAGTAGTACAGCATTGTTTTGAGATAATTATCCTTGGCTACAAAGATCTGTTAACAAGGGTAGCACCAGTCTTAGAAGCCTGGGGGCCCATCCCCCTACCTGATTCCCACATAGTGGTTGCAATGGTGAACAAAAAGCGGTCTGCCTGGTCTGACCACTGGGAAAACTCTGCAGCAGAAAGCCACTTTCAGTGGCTTAGAGTGTACAGGCTGTTGCTGGACAGATGTCCTTGCAGAAGTATTTTCTTTATAAAGTTATGATATCCCTTGTGCAAAGTTGTGGTTTTTGCACAGTATTTTGTGTTAGTTTTTATTATAAGAACTTCATACATAAGGGCCCACTCCCTTTCCCTGGCTCTATTGGTCAGTTTTTTTAAACACAAGTCATTTTGATTGTGACTTTTTATTTTATTTTATTTTTTGAGTTGGAGTCTTACTCTGTCGCCCAGACTGGAGTGCAGTGGCCGCTCCCGGCCACCACAGCCTCGACCTGCTGGGCTCTGCCTCAGCCTTCCGAGTAGCTGGAATTACAGGCACGCGCTACCACGCCCGGCTGATTTTCTGATTTATTGTAGAGATGAGATCTCGCTGCCCAGGCAGGTCTCGAACCCGCAGGCTCAGGCAATCCACTCACCTCAGCCTCCCAAAGGCACGGGATCACAAGCTGAGCCACCGAGCTGGCTGACTATTTTTACATAATAAAGTCACAAGGGGCAGCACATTCCCCATAACTTCTTAGTGAATGACTGTGTGTGTGTAGGAGAGAAAGAGAGAGTGCATCCTTTTGCCTGGGCCTAAGTATGTCACTAACCCTGAGGTGGTTTGAATAAGGGCAGGAGAGAGGGCCTCACTGTGACTTTCGTGAAACCTAAGTACTATTAAATTAAGTTAAAGTCTGAAGGTGCATTCATACTTGAGTCTTTACAGGATCTGCCCAAATTTGTAAGTCTCACCTGACAGACTCTGGTCCCTACCCTGCACACGTGGGGAAGCCCAGAGGAGCCTGGCATGGCCAGCAAGGTTTAGCATGGACAAGATGACTGGAGTGGAAGCAGGGCATAGAACACAACTCCATTTCAGGACCAAAAGCCTGAGGACCCCAGGGAGAGTCAAGTAGGGAGGTGGTGAATGAAACCCCAGAGGAGGGAAACACCCTTCCAGAGAGAGGATTGAAGCCTAGGGGACAGACTGAGGTAGAAAGTGCTTAACAGAATTCTCAGTTAGGCACCAAATTCCTTTAATGCCTGTGTGTCTGTCACCCACGGGCAACTTTACATGTGAGGCCTGAGAAAGCCTCTGTTTTAATGGGAGAATAAAGAGGAACTTTCATGATTTGCATGATTTGCAGTTAGTTTATTGAAATGAAAAGTTATTTGAGGTTTCAACAGTTGTCTTGCAGTTTTTATATAAAAGGACAAAATCAGAAAAGTGTTGTTTAGCAATCAGCAGTTCTGACCATTATCTGTAGTTGTCTGACTCAGAGGTCTTGTGGAAAGTTAAAAGATCATACACCAAATGCTATCATACATTGTTTTCTGGAAAACAGATACACACACATCACTTAGATTTTCAACTCTCACTTGCCATCTCAAATGTTGAAATCCAGAAATGGTTCTTTTGGTTGTTTCCTGCATTTGTCCATAAACACATAACTCTCGGGAAATTTTCACTGGTAGCAAAACAGATTTTTCTCTCCATTTTTTTCTGTCATTCAGGAGACATTTATTGATGCCACACAGAGGCCAGTGCTGTCAGAACTTTTTCCTAAGAGGGATCTCATTAATATATTTTTTTCTCCAAAAATCCTATTCTCTGAAATAACAGATTCAACAAATATGCTTCAGGTACTTTTTTTTTTTTTTTCATTAATCAGTATTTTTTATTATGGTTTTGTGGGGTACAGTTAAGGGTTAGGTGTACAATGACGTTTCATTCAGGCACCCTGTAGATAAGAAGTGTTTTCCCATCCCCCGACAGATATTTGCTACTGTTAATCCCATCCCCCTCCCCCCCATAGTTTCCCAGTACCATCAGTCATTTTCTCATAGTATTGCATTGGATGTTCAAGGTCCATTATATGAGTGAGAACATGTGATATTCGGATTTTTGTTTTTGTGAGAGGTCACTCAGTATTATAGACTCTAGTTCCATCCAGATTGCAGCGAAATTCATGATTTTGTTCTTTTTTATGGCTGCATAGTATTCCATTGTGTATATGTACCACATTTGTTTAATCCAGTCCTCTTTTGATGGGCAGCTGGGAAAATTGGCTGACCACATGCAGAAGATTGAAACAGGACCCCTATCTATCCCCATGCACAAAGGTTAACTCCAAATGGATCAGAGACCTAAATGTAAAACTTCAGGTACTTTTTGACGAAGACCTGCCAGTTTGAAATGTTTTTGCTTTTTTTAAAAAAAAAAATTAATTTATTTTAAAGATGTGGGGTATAATTCAGGATTAGGTATACAAGTGGTCATCATGCATGTAAAGTTTGGGCCTCCTTTTGGTCCTCACTTTGCCTGGATGGAGATCAGGTATCCTTATTAATTTTATGTACCCCTTTCCCACCCCTAGCAGTTTCAACTACTGCCAATCCTTTTCTTAGAGTGTTATGGTAAATGTTCAGGGTCCACTTTTGAATGAGAACATATGGTACTCTTTTTTTTGTTTCTATGATAAATCACTGAGTATTATAGACTCTAAATCCTTCCAAGTTGCTGTGACGCCCATAATTTTATTCTTCTTTATGGCTGCATAATATTCCATCATGTATATGTACCATGTTTTTTTGATCCTGTTTCAATGGGCAGCATGGTTGGTTTTGTGTTTTTGCTACTGTAAATAGTGCTGCAATAAACGTGTGTGCAGGTATCTTTTTTGTAGAGCGATTTAAGTTCCTCTGGGTATATTCCCAGAAGGGAGATTGCTGGATGTGTGGAAGGTCAATTTCTAGTTCTTAGGAATTGCCACACTGTTTTCCATAGAGGTTGAACTAGTTTGCATTCCCACCCACAGTGTAGAAGTGTTCTCTTTTCTCTGCATTCTTGTCAACATCTGTTGTTGTTTTTTTTTTTTAAATTAATGATGGCCATTCTTACTGGAGTTAGGTGGTATCTTAATGTGGTTTTGATTTACATGAAATGTTTTTGATACCACTTTTTCATCACAGAATTTTAACAATCTGGGTTCTAATACAAGGATGTGATGGTTTTAAGTTGCTGAATGGCCTTAAATGTAGAAATATTGTAACAGTCTTAGACTCTCCACCATTTTCCTCACAGACTACAAAACATTGGAGCTCTACAGTGCTAGAAATGGGGATCCTAGGGGACACCCCCACCTCCAGACTATTTTGTCCAGAAACAACAAGGAGACTCGGAGATCAGTAGGGTGAAGCAGCTTTTGTAAATGACTCTCTTGCAAGAACGGGTGTCCCTCATATGAGCAGGCACACCGAAGCAGTTTCAGCCAGAATATTTAAACTCTAAACTGCAAGTTCCTCTTCTGTTTCGCCATAGGCTGGGTACTTCCAGAACTTACGTCACTTTCCCGGACATTGCCTACATATTGTACATTGATTGGGTTACCTAGTTAGTTTCATTTGCATGTCCTATTTGCCGATTACCTTATAAGATTTTGTTCTAATTGGTTCCTGTCGAAGTTTAAATAATGAAAAAGCCCACCAAAGTAAAAGCACGCAAAAAGAGAACAAGAAGCAGGAAGTGACTCAGCAAAAAGCAGTTACGTACAACTTGTGGCTTACAGTGAAAATAAATCATTATTTTTCTTACATACACCAGGAATGATTAGCCTAATCTGGGATTTAAACCAAAAAAAAAAAAAGATCTTACCATATATTTGGTGTATCTCTAAATTTTCTTCTATGAAATGTTTTAATACAATTTGAGGAATATTTTTTTTAATGTGGAAAAAAAACCTGTAAACAACCTACATTTATAACTAGACAGAAATACTCATTGCCACAACATTGCCTTTTGTTTTAAGCACTTCTGGCACCCATGCTGTTTCATACCCATAGTCTGTACTTTTCCTTTCATGAGCTGTTTAATTAAAAGGTGCATGATTTCCAGATGTGCATGCTAACAAGTCTTGGTTGCTTTGACATGGGTTTAAATTCCTTATAGTCAAATAAGGAGACTTTACACAAATGGTATTTTTAGATTCAGCAACAAAATTTTAAGAAAGTTTATGCTGTTTATTTTTGTGAAAGGGAAAAATTTCTTTGATGGTTGCTCCTACAAGTGAGTGGTTCCTTGAGAATCAATATTTTCTCTTGATATAAAATTTGTGGGTACCTAACCCTATGTGTTTCTGTGTGTTTATTTGTATATCTCTCTGTGTCTGTTTGTGTGGTGGACTCTCTGTGTGTATGTCTGTGTGTATACATGAGGATGAACTGGGTAGATGAGGGATAAATTAGCTATTTCTGAAACTTTCTCTTCTCTCTTTACCTTTTCCATTTATCACTGAAGATTCTCAAAGGGAAGTGGCAACCAGCCTAAGGACAAAATGAAATCACTGGTACATAAAGAAAGCTGGTTCACCACTTGCTTGGTATTCTTGCTGCCACATTTAGAACCAGTCAGTGATTTTAAAGGCAAATAAGAAGTAACAAAAATTACCAACATCAATTCAAAATTCTTTGGAGTCTCATTTGACTGGTTGAGGAAACACTGTTTAAATTTCCCTACAGCCTCTGGCATGGCATAATTGTTTATGAATGGTTTTAGTAATTCTTTGTAATCAGATATAGAGACTCTTGAATCAATGGCCTTTGTAGCCACTTAATCTATAAACTGGTAAGCAGAACCTGAGAACAAAGCATAGAACATGAGCTCATTAGCAGAAGGGTGAACTCAGTTGAGGGACCACCTGTGAGTTTGGTCATCTTACATCCCAGTAAGGAGAGAGGTTCAGAAAGATGATGGTGCATAGTCTAAGAGTTCCCATCCTGACAGTATAAACTCAGGTACTGCCACTGCAATTCCTCCCCTTCCTCCCAAGCCCAGGGAAGCCAAACACAGTGACCTGCTCTACTTGGTGAAACATATTAAACACGATTTCTTCTTTCTTTGTTCAAAGTCATGCAGTGCTTCCCATTACCATTAAGAGTATCAAGGAGAATTTCCAGGTATTTTAGGTGAATTGGGTCTGGAACTTTGTCCATTAGATCTGTGAACTCCAAGTGCACAACAACAAATGTAAACAGAACTTCTAGTTCATAAATTAGTCTGAGGGGCCCCCCGCCACACCTCATGGAGGAGAGGAGGAGTTCAAGATATGGATTCCTGTGAGCTGGTTGTGCTCTCGGCTCTTCCATTTTCTATGGAGTTGATTGTGACATATCACCTTCTTACCTATCTGTATCTACTTTGTGAACATGAAAATGAGCTTTGTGAATTGTACAAGTCACACATGTGATATAATAGTGCTGACCAGATTCTGGCTGCCAGGGCTTTTTCCTCCCATGGGTTCTTCATTGCTGCAAGGAGACTCCAGGGGGTGTGAGTTCTCCTCCCAGTCAGCCTTGAGCATAAAGGAAGCTAAAGGGCATTCCAGAAGGGCTCAGGTCAACTCTTCAAATGTAGAGTGAGCCCCACAGGGTGAGAGATGCTGGGTCAACACTGTGGACTCTCCTGGGAGGGCTCCTGTTTCTTTCTATGTTCAAGGAGAATCATGATTGGTTTCTGGATGCAAATACTACAGGGACCCTATTCACAACTCTCCCTTTCCCACTGAAATAGCAATTTCCAATATTCATTCACTGGAATCACCCTGTCTCGACAGTCTCTGTGATCATGGTAGAACACCCTGAATGCAGTGGGACACTGCATGCAGCTCCAATGCAGGGCAGTGCCCATGAGGGTATGCCATCTTTGATTATCTGGAATTAATGGGAATTCTAAGGTCGGTTACACCCAGATCCTTTGTCCAGGAGCTGACCAGTTATGGGGTTTGGGGACTGGGAGTTCTTCCACAAAGGTCCAGGCAACAACTGTAGCCCAGAGGCAACCGTCCTCACGGACTCACCTGCATAGCAGAGAAGGAGCATGAGGACCATCTGCAGCTTCATGGTGAGGCAGCTGTTGTCAGTGTTCAGTCAAGTTGAGTGTGGCAGGGATCAAGGAAGTCACTCTGGAGCTGAGCACCCAGCAGTGCTCTATTCCCCAAGTAGGCACCTTAATCCCTTACGGGAATGAGAGAATGAGACAGCTTGGCATGGGACTAGGAAACATTATCAGACAGTAATGGGAACCCAGCCAGCCTGTGATCTTTTGTAGAAACAAAGATGGCAGTAATTGTTGGACCCATGACAATTTGGATACTGCACTAATGACAGATGGCCTTAGGAAAAATGAATGTGAAAGTGTTTTTCAAAGTATGAAGCAGAACACACTCATGTGATCTTGTGCTGCTATCATTATTATTTTGTGGTCTTCTATTCTTCCTTCTCTTCTTTTTCCTCCTCCTTTTACTCTTTTCCCTCTCATTCCTCATCATCTTCTTTCTCTCCTTCTCCTAATTCTTCAAGATACAGGTAGCTTCATAACCTGTCTGTGTGTCTGTCCTGGTATCAAATATTTGGACTTAGTGCAATATCTGAACTTTCCTCTGGGAGGCAAATCTTTCTCACCCATAGAAATTCCCCTTTCAGGGATTGGCAGTAGTGGGAAACTGCCAGGGAAGGGGGAGGCACACCTAATGACCAAGGGTGCCTACATAATGAACATTTGTATAACTAACCCTGAACTGTACCCCATACATTTAAAATAAAAATAAAAGAAACTCCCCTTTCAGGAAAAAAAGTTTCATTTTGGGGGGAAATATCTAACCTCCAAAGAATGTTTTCATTTTTCTCACAATAATTACCTCACCAAGTTCATTCAAGTGTACAAATTCACCTCATTATAAGTCCAAGATTTAATTTTTGTTTAATTCTTTGTTGGTGTTTTAAGATTTTCCTTGCATGAATACAAAGTATGCTGTGAATTTGAGGAACTGCTTGTTCAGGGGGCAGGTAGAGCTGGACGGTGGATAATTAAGGTTTTGGGCTCATTTAGATGTAGGTTTGCATCCTAAAGACAACATCTATTCATTATGTGTCTTTGACAAATTATGATGCCGGTCTATTGAGCTTCCTTTTTCCCTTTTGTGAAGTGGGTATACCTATGCCATGAATTTTTGTGATATAATGGGCACTCCATATAAAGCTTATCTCCATGGCCTGACATAAGGTAATCATGAAGAAATGGTAATATTCACCCATCCATCCATCCAATGTTGAGCACACATCATTGAGTTTCATCATTGAGCTGGGCCCTATGTTAATGCTTTAGATTTGTAGCAGAGAGAGGTTAAAAACAGTTAAATTTATTCCTTTTTAAAAATCAGCCTGCAAACTCCAAACCTACTAGATGTAAGAAAACCAAATAGCCACAAGCCGCTTTCCTGGAAATGAAAGATAGTAATCGATTCACAATCTTATCCCTGCATCCTCTCTTCATGAAGTTATCGGTTTACAACCCCTGCTTGTCATGCATACCCTGGAGATAATTCGTTCTTTGAAAATCTGATTTTGCTGAATACCACCTTGCAAATTCCAAAGGCAAATGTATAGTTATACAACAAGACCCCCCTCCCTTACCTAAACTAACATATAAAACCCCTCTCCTCTTTCTCTGGGTTGCTCAGCCTTGGAGCATTAGCCCACTGAGTCACACCAGCGCTAATAAAACACTACTTCCTAAAATAGCCTTGGTGTCATGGTCTCTCTGTTTTCCTGCAACAGATTCAGTTATAGAAACAAGATAGACCAAGTCCTTGCCTTTATGAATGTTACTTTCTAACAAAAAGGCAATGAACAGGCCTACAACTAAATCAGAGCTATTGGAAAGTGGTGACGGCTGCAAAAATCAACAAAATACCCGCAATGCAGTCATTGACTGGCCAGTGATGGGCTGTGTCCTGCAGCAGTACAGGGACCCTGTAGGAGAGGGTGTTGTCTTAGCTCAGACTTGTATGAGTGGATGGCGATGTCTGGGGACAGATCTGGGAAAGAGCATTCTAGGCAGAGGGAACAGCAAGCACAGAGGCCTGAGGGCAGATGGCACTTTGCAAGGTAATAAAGGTGTGTATGCCTTTTGGGGTCAAGAGAAGGACAGGACAGTGTCACATGATAGAAAACCTATCCAGGTTTATAAAGGGACCAGGGTACAGTAATAGGAAAAAGAAGACAAAATGGGCTCATGAATTTAAGAAAGATATGGATGACAGAGCCAGAGAGATGAGTCTGTTCTTTATTGCCAGTGAATGCACATTATTTGCTGTCTGGAAAACTTGTGACATCTTTCTTTGCATCATACTGCTGGATCATCAATTGCCAAGAACAAAACTCATTTATGAAGACAACAGGAAGCAAAAGTCATTTATGAAGACAATAGGAAGCAAAAGCAAAAGTGCCTGTACTCATGTACATACACAGAGGGCCATGACAGACATCCTTAATTCTCAAGGAAAGTGAAGGACTTTGATCCTGAAAAGGTAAGTGGCCCTCTTCACCAGGAAGTGCTGAACTTCTATCTGGTGCCCCAGTCCTTATGGCCCCACTGTCTTCTGCTGGGCCAGAGACCTCTGCAGAGTTTTCTTATTCATCTAAAGAATATCCCACTTTTGGTACAAGTGCCCACAATTAAGAGACTTTAACCTCCTTGTTTTAGCTGGGCTTCTGAAGATGGTCACTCTCTGGTAAGTCAAGGAAAACTAATTTGGCCTAGAAAGGACTCATTTATATGTCACCCTCTGTAGGGAGAATAAGGAGATAAAAAAGTTCAAAATACTTGTGATGCTGGTGCAGTTTTTTTATTTTTCCAGAAGGGACTTTGCCCCCAATTCCCAAATGAAGTTCAGAAACTAGAAACATCTAGTATCCTTCAGTGGTCCTCATTAGTGTGATGAATATTAATTGATCACCTGCTATGACAACCAGGCCGCAAAGATAAATCATTCACCAACTCTATCCAGAGTGAGCTGGTGTCTCTGGGAGAATGAAAGTCTGTGATCAGGAAGAGTCACTTTTTTTTTTTTTGCCTCTTTCTGCATTTTTTTTTAAATTACTATTTTCTCATTTTAAAGATGTAGGGTACAATTCATGGTTAGGTATACAAATGTTCATTTTGCAGGTACCTTTGTTGATGAAGTGTTCCCCCTACCCCACCCCAGGAGTCATGTCTGACCTGCCCTCAGGCAGAAGAAGAGCTTAGAGGTGGACATAGTAATATTTTTTGACATTTGAAAGGCCTTACCATGCATAATATTAAACTCTTTTGAACCCTAAATGCCTATACCTTAAGAAATAAATAGACAAGTGGGACCTCACCAAACTAATGAGCTTCTGCAAAGCAAAAGAAACTACCAAGAGAGCAGGGAGACAGCCCTCAGAGAGGGAAAAAGTATTTGCCAACTGTATATCTGACAAAGGCCTAACATCTAGGATCTACAAGTATCTCAAACACACTGAAAGGAAAAAAACAAACAGCCCCATTAAAAAGTGCGCAAAAGACATGAATAGACACTTCTCAAAAGAAGATATATGGGCAGCCAACAGACACATAAAAAAGTGCTCAGCCTCACTCATCTACAGAGAAATTCAAATCAAAACCACATTGAGAGACCACCTAACCCCTGTAAGAATGGCCATCGTTAATAAAACAAACAACAACAGATGCTGGCGAGGATGTGGAGAAAAAGGAACACTTCTACACTGCTGGTGAGAATGCAAACCAGTGCAACCTCTTTGGAAGACAGTGTGGCGGTATCTGAAAGCACTAGAAATTGACCTTCCATAAGATCCAACAATTCCCCTATTGGGAATATATCCGTAAGATATATCATTCTACAAAAAAAACATTCTACAAAATAAGTCTACAAAAAAGATACCTGTACACATATGTTTGTTGCAGCTCTATTCACAATAGCAAAAACGTGGAACCAACAAATCGAAGCTGGACTGGATTTTTAAAATGTGGTACATATACACAATGGAATATTATGCAGCCATAAAGGACAAACATATGGACTTCACAGCAACTTGGATAGATTTAGAGTTGATCATATTCAGTGATCTATCACAAAAGCAAAGAACAGAATACCATATGTTCTCACTCATAAGTGAACCTTGAACAATTATAATACTATAAGAAAGCAATTGGCAGTAGTGGAAAACTGTCGGGGGGCGGGATTGGCAGTTGAGGGAATCTGCTAGGGAAAGGAAGGGTATACCTCATCAACAAGGCTACTTGCATAATCAATGTTTGTATACCTAATCCTGAATTGTACCTCACATCTTTATAATTAAAAAAAAAATTTTTTTTAAGGAGGAGGCGGGTAACCCTCTCAGGGCCCCTCCTTCCTGTCCTCTTAATAAATCCTATTTTCAAAAAAATAAAAATAAAAAATAAAAAGAGGAAGCAGGTACATAGGAGATGGTTGGAGATGGTGTCGGCCAGGACCTGAATCATCTCAGTGTTTCTTTTCCCCTAAAGGTGACTATTACTGTGATACCTTGTGATACGGATCCACCTGATGAGTTGGAACGAGGAGCCGGATTTGGAAGCAGAGCCAGGGCCAGGTGTTAGCCTCTGGATAATTCTCTTGGTTTCTTCACCAAAATCCTGAACTTAACTCAACCTGACAGTCCCTATGATGTGTGATTAATAGATTAATCCTGTACTCATGTTACAGTTGATTTGACTCATTAGATATCTACTCCAACATCTTCTCCATTAAGTTGATTCTTTATTTTTCTTTTATGCCCTTATTTTTTTTGGTAGCAATAGCGATCCCGCAGATCTGAGTGTCTACTCCTTAGAGGCATTAGAAGAGTTAGATCGGAGAACTGACATCAAGTTTTCCACTGTAGGGAAGTCATCTGCAGCCAGGGCACACCTACTCCCCATTTCTTCCCAGCCCTATGGATGGCAGTCTGGAGATACTTTTGGTTGTCACGGATGGTGGTGAGAGTGCTGTTGACATCTAGGGAACAGAGGCTGGGGATTCTGTTGAGCATCCTATAAT